TATAAATAATAAATTTTATTTATAAAGATAATTTTCATAAAACAAAATCGAAAAATAAATATATATATGCTCATCAGACTAAATTGCTCTTGGTAAATGAACAAAACAATGACTGCATTTAAATGTTATTTCTTCAAGGGGAAAAAAAACATTATACGATAGTAATTTATGATAATTGTTTGTTCTTAAAAGGGAGAGAAAAAACCATAGTGATTCATCGAACACAAGTATACTCATTGCCTTTTTAAAACACCAAAGCATTCAGTATAATCGTTGATTATAATGCACACGCTATAATACATAACGGTTAGACATCTATTAAAATACATATAAAAACGAAGAAAAAAGAGAAACGACATTCTGCTCCATCTTGCAAAAATAATTTCTTCTTTTTCCTTCAAAAATTACAAAAATAATCGTCACTTAATAATAAATAAAAAATTATTATTTAAAATTAGATTTAAATTAAAAAAAAAGGATATATTAAAAATTTTCACGCATCAAATTTAATTTATTAGCCATGTACGACGATTATACTCGTCATTTCTTCATTTCTGCGAAACAATTTATATACACTTTATATACATGCTTTTAAAAGTACAAATACTTAACATGTTAAAAAAAATTCAGATTTTAATATCACAATCAATATTTATATCAGATATCATATAAAAAGATAAAAAAAAAATATATATTTTAATTATTGAAAATCTTTTATCTCTACGTTATCGACTGCACTTCACTTGAATGCGCGATTCAATCAGTTACGGTTCATATTTTTATGCGTATGTGGTACGAGAGCCTTTTACGTAAAACGTAATCAGCGATGACGAAGATAACGAGGACGATCTCGACAAGGACGATTAGTCATGGATTACGTGTTATCGCGGCTACGCGTCATTGTTCTTGGTAATCATTCGCCAACGGTATCGGTAAGAGAGAAGAAAACATAGGTTAGGTTGAAGTATCACCGTGAGAAAATGCGCGATCAAGATATGTTGCTACACTCTGATGTTTCAACTTTTTACTCACGTTCAAATATTTTTCATTTTTTTGCTTTTATAATTTAAAAGATTACATTAAAAATTTCGTTTCGAAAAGTGATTAAACAAAGTGCGATGTTTCAGATAAAATTAAATTTTTATTATATATAAAAAATTAAAAGAAATTAAATGAAAGATTATTATTATTATCGAATTATTTATCGAATTATTTATTGTATTATTTATCGAAATAATATAATATCGCGATAATTTAATATATTTTGCATATTTTGTGTCTTTTTGTGTGTATTCTGTAAGTTTTTGTATATTTAAATTTTGTTTAAATGCATAAATATGTATAAGATAAAACATTAAAATTTATGGTTTTAAAATTTGTGTGTCTAACCTAACCTAACTTAACTTAACTTAAATGAGAAAGGTAACATCAATTGTCTCGTAGTTATTTCATCTACTCGTAAACAAAATAGATAATATCGTTATATAATAGTAATTATATAAGCTTTATTTGGTAAATTTTTAATATATAAACTTTTATATAACATTATCACGCAATTTGTGATAAGAATTCATATCTTTCCACTATATATGGTTCTTTTTGTCAAACCAATTATCAAAGCTACTTATAGAGAGTTTTTCTTACCTCTTCAAAATAATAATAAATACTTAAAATAATAAAAAAAATATGATTTTTGATTTTTGTAGATTTCTATTAAACTTTAAGAATACCAATGAATTGAAAAAATTTACAACTTTATATTGTTCATGTATATTATGAAAAAATATTTGAAAATTTTTTCAAAAAAATCAGAGTGAGATAAGATATTATATAAAATAATACAAGAAATAGAAAACATAGAAATTCTATTATTTAAGATGCTATAATTCAGAATTATGATTTATAAAGAGAAAAAATCGTATTTTTGTATGTTGCGAATGCTGTTAATAGCAATAGTTAATAGCAATTTCAAATAATTCAAAAATAATATTTTGTAAAATGTTATAATATGAATAAATTATAAAATCGATATAAATATGTATCAAAGATACAGTGTTCTTGATACTAATGCAAACATTTATATTTCGAGAAAAAAATAGTAGGATGAATATAAATTGTAAGATATAATTCATTTAATGCGTTAATTTTTTAACATTTCGAAATTTTGTAACATTTAATTTTAATAAGAGATAATTCTTTTGTATGATATATATTTTCTTACTATTATCAATTATACATCCACTACCATCTATCAAAATATTCATATTATCCAAAATTATAGTCAATTCAATCGATACAACAACATCCGCATATTTATACTGCAAGAAATTTCAAAAACGCTATCTAAGCAGAAGTCATTCCAGGTATGAAAAATTAGTTCGCACATTTGTCACAAATGCAACGATTTAATGTGTACGCGATGCGCTAAATTCTTCATGGCGAAGTTATCCGCAGAAAGTCTCTTTGTGTTCACTGTGCATGCATCGTGTGCCACCGAACAGGCCGGTTCGGAATAATCTGCCCTCTCGCCATTCCCTCTCACTCGTCCTGCCATTGCTCGTCTCCCTTTCTTCCTCTCTTTCTCCCGAACCGCGTTATATAAGAACCAACTCAGACTGGCCGTGAACTTACCGACGTGGTCGGTCGTCTTCGCATTCGAACGCAAGCATTCTCTCTCTCTCTCTCTCTCTCTCTCTCTCTCTCTCTCTCTCTCTCTCTCTCTCTCTCTCTCTCTCTCTCCCCTACGAGTTCGTTCGGTGCATTCGCATGCATCGAAGAGGGAGAAGGAATGCGATCGATTCAGTTATTCTTTCGAGTCGGATCCAGAAAATCGCTTTACCTGCCGGGTCCAGACCGTGTTTTATCTCACGCAAGAACTTGGATGATGCTTCTGTGTATATATGGTATGTATGGTACGATCGTGAAGTTTAAAAATTCTTCGTAAAGAGAAATGGATCGTGAATGAAACATGTCTTCGTTATTATTCTCTTCGAAAAATTCGATTCGGTTTTTTTTCTCCCTTAATCTCTAAATCTCTAACATTGCGTTAAATTAAAATTTCGTAAGTTCGTAATTTTTTTTTCAATCGATATATTTGGAAAAATCATTTTTTCGTTTGAATTATATTTAATAGATTCGAGAATTATTAAAAAGAATAAGATTTTTTTTTTTTATATATATATAAACGAATTAAACACTTTCATATACGATATCCTCTTACTATAGAGTTCAAGACAGTTCAAACTTATTCTCATCTTATTTTTAGACATCTGATTCATTCTACTCGTAACTCTCTATCTATTTTCTGCATCCTGCGTTAAAAATATATCTTTTTTAAAAAAAAAACTGTCAATAAACACTATTCTCTCAAGGAATGAATAAATGTTTAAAATTCTATGCAATTTTCTTTGCAATTTTTATTAACTTCGTATCGATTATTAGAATCTCTGCCACTCGAGTCCCCGAGTATCATACGTATCGAAATGAAAGAATAAACTTGAAACGGTTGGGAATATAAAAAGATATAATCCGCTCTTTGGAAATTCGAATGCTTAATAAGCTTTAAACGACGAAGAGAAGACATGAAATGCCAGTAACTCATGCGCGGGACAAAGAGAACCGACCGAGTGCATATGATTTACAGCGTTGTTTGTAAAAACGTGGAACGCGTTTCTGCAACAGAAAAAAACCTTTCTGTGACTGGCAAATAACACAACATGTTATCCAGAGATTGAGCACGTAGTAAATATCGAAGTGTGTGCAAACGAAATACCATTCATGAAATACTGCCTTCATTTTGCCATGTTTGAAAAAAACATCCGGTTGATCTTAGTTTGTTGACAGGGTCAATGGTTGAATTTTATTTTGAGATATTGCTTTTTTTTTCTTAAACTTTTTACGTAATTTTTAAATATAATTTTCGATAAACAAAAACAAGCAACAATAATAATTTTGAATGTACAAATAAAAATGTTATTTAATTCTAATCTAATTTAAGCATTTGCATTTCGTCTTATTAATTAGATTATATTATACAGAATAGCGTTAGAAAATAGGATAAAAATTTTAAAAAAAATTCAAAACGTTTTTATTAATATCACAATGATATTTCATCAATAAAAGCAAAATCATAAATATTTATATAATTCTAATTTCATTATCGTGAAAACAATCTGTCATCCATTTCTGCAGGATACCAAAATCACTAATTTAATTTAACCTAACTTAAACAAATTCGTTAAAAGTATTACATTAATACTATCAGATTAATTAAAAAGATTTGTGTCCATTTAGAACGGTCATATTCTTTTGTGCATCTTTGCTATCTTTGAAATCAGAACATGCAAATTAATTCGATCTTCTGTGGTTCGTAACGCTATCCGGATTCGCTGTTTCGTAATGATCTTTATGTAACTACTTTGTAATCTGTGGTGAGAATTTAGTAGCACAAATAAACTTTTCTCTAAAACGCAAATATATTTCTGCAACTGGTTGTATAAAAAGGAAAACAAAGGATAAATCGAGACAACACCGTGGGGTTAAATCGTAAAATGTATACATATACTCTGTCTGGGTACATAAGCCATTTTCTGTGCGGTAATAAAGAAAAAAAATCATCTTACGTATCTCAAGATAAAACTAATCCAACGACTAAACGTAATCTTTGCGATCGTTTTCTCTTAGGGGAAAGTTCCTACGATAAATCATAATCTATATAGATGTTTTCGAAATGATCGAATATACTTATAATATATTAACATGAATAATATCGAATTCAAATCTAAAAGTATACTTATGATAAAAATTTTAAAATATATAAATACACAAAATATAAACATAAATGCATAAAATGCTCAACTTTAATATCGTAATATTCAAATTAATCTCTTTTAATTTTTTAAAAAATAATTCTTCAAAATAAAGTGTCGCAAATAATAATAAAAGACAAATGAAACTCTAATTTCAACAAAACTATTAAAAAAATAAAAAAAAACACTCACCAAGATGAACCGCCAAATTGTATCTTTCGAGCGCTTGACCCAAGTGTCCCTCCTTCATTAGAATATCACCCTCGTGTCTAGCTCTGCTAGCCTCTGCTTCTCGCGGCCACCACTTTTCCACCAGTCTCTGCACTAGCACATTCGTCTCACTCACAGTGATGATTTTTTGCCCGCACACGCGACAGCTTTTGCCCGGCTCCACGCAATTTTTGCAATATGTATGGCCGCAATTCGATGTTACTGGTTGGCACAGGGTTCCCTCGCACAAAGGGCACGCGAAAGATGTTTCGATTTTTCTTCGAAAATTGATGGTTGTAGTCGCAGCCCCAGACAATTCATCCAACAAAGCGTTCGCCAGATGTTTCAATCGCTCCGGTGCCACAGATCCTACTGCTAAACATTTCGAGTAAACACCAATGGACTCTCTGATACGTCCACATTTGGCCAAAGAATCTCCATAGCCAACGAGCACCTCAAAACTCGGTGCTTGCTGCTTCAAATTACGTTCGTACATTTCTACAGCTAAGCGATAATTGCGCGAGGCGAAAGCTTCTTTTGCCAATTCAGTCATATTCAATGATCGTATACTGAAATGCTGAAATCTTTGAAAGCACTTTCCTCGTTCGAAATCAGTTTTCGAAGAAACGACGCGCGTACGTTTATGTTATGAAAGATTACGTATAAGCGTTGATCGCGAAATAAATGGGAACGATCCGCTGGTTAATAATATTGAGAGGATAAATTTAAGAACGATGCACATTTTACTTCATCGGATCACTCTAAAAATCGTGCAACGATATTCTCTCATTTATATTTTTCTTTCCTTTCTTTCTTCAAAATAAAAATCGTATCGATCGGTTGTCTGGAAAACACGTTTCGATGCAACAAAAACACTTGACACAATGAGAGGCAATGATTATCGGACAAGCTCGGTATTTATCAATATCGATACCCGGAAGAGCTATAGTTTCATAAGTCGATTGATTGCTCGCACGTTTGACAGCTAGCCGGCCACGCGGTAAAAGTATTCACGATATACACCACGCAGAGACAACACTACGTACAGTACGACGACGCACTGACGACTGCTGGCTTGGCTGTCACCGCTCGCTCGGGCCACTGTCAGAAACATAAACCGGACGAGGGGTGGCCAACAACAGTGGTGGTGGTGGCGTCGGTGCAATCGTGGTGGTACCAAACGATGGCGACAACAGCGCCGCGTGGCGGTACATACACCTTCGACTCTTCACTGCCTCTACCTCACCAACTGTTTCGTGATACCACCACGAACTGTACTATATCACGGGTCTACGTTCTACGTAGGCGTCGCGTCGAGCCACACCCCCCACTACGGAATATCATCCTGCCACCACGAAGATCCCTCTTGATCCGCTCAGCTTAACCCTTGCCCTCTTCTTAACCTTATCAGGATACCTCTGCTTTTTTATATTCCGATCGATCGAGCAATGCATCATTCGCAGTATATCAATTTGGATGAATTCATTATTTCTCAATGAATTCGTTATTTTTGACACTTTATTTCAAAATAATTCTTTTTACTTCTTCGAGTTGAATTTCACTTCAGCAAGCATCCGAATAAAGATCGAAAAATCTTTCTTGAATATTCTTTATTGTGACATATCATTGAAGTATAATTCATCATTGCAATCGACATGGTCTGGAAATATCAACAGGCTCTTTCGAAGCATGTCTTCATGGTATTCAAACGAACGGCGTCCTGTTAGCTACCCGCGCTCCACCAACGAACCTAAAAGTCGTCGAAGCAGAAACCTTCTTAAGTGAACGAACGTGACACGAAACTTTCGATGCAGATTATATGGTAAAACAGGTTGTGATTCGACGAGGGTGACGAGACGCAAGGGTAGTGGACCACTTAATCAGGACACTTGTTGTTGCTCGTCCGTTATCTTCGTTTCGGTCATCCGTATCGAGAAATGAATTCGTCAAAGGGATATTCGAAGCAAAAAAACACGACACAGAACACATACGGAATCTTTTCGTTACGGGTAAAGCTGTGGACGAAGCAGCGGGATGCGCGATTGCGGAGCTTACATAAAGAGCGTCGCGTCAGTGCACAAAACGTGGCGGGAGCGAGGCGAGTTTCGATTGGATCAATTATTCCACGGGCGAGCCTCGGCTCTCCGGGCTCTAGGAATCTTACTGAGCATGAGCAGTAACGTTACTTGGTCTACGTCGTGGTATTCCGTTTTACCCGGCACCAAGAGCAGACCTGCGTGCGCTGCTCCCCTCGTTGTGTGATCGTGCGTGAGTCAGTGTGCACCGACCGTTGACTACGCAGACGCGTTATAAACGCACTGCTCGCTTCCTTTCTCTTTCTTTCTCACATGCGCGCGCGTTCGTGATCACGTTTGCGCGATGCAACTGAAACACTCGAGACGATTCGCGCGCGTGTACGCTCATGCGTATGTATATATGTATATATGTATGAATCGAGAAATTGTTTATACATTATTATTTTTACCCTATATCTTTTTCTACTTTTGATATATTATAGGTTATATATATATATATATATATATATATATATATATAAATTGATGACATTCGCGTATTTTTAAAAAAATAATTATTTTGATTTTATTTCCGATCTGTACAGACGTTACAAAAGTGTTGATTTATTCTATAAATAATAATGATGATGATAATTTTTTTTATATTTTTAATGTAATATCTCAAATAATGCTGATGCGTAAAAAAATAAAAAATATAAAAAAAGTAAAATATAAAACAAAATATCGTTAGTAATGATATCGAAATATACGGAAGAAAATATCAACTAATTATTATCGTTGTACTAATATATACATATATATAATCAACATATTAGCCATGTATAGTTAATATTTTTTAATTATGAACTATGTTTAACCCATCTTTATAATCTATTTGTCATGAACATGTCAATCGATAAGTTTAATTTCTTGAAATTTTCTGAAGAAATAGAACCATAAAAATAACGAAAGTCGCATTAACTTATAAAATTCGTATTAACCTATAAGAAAGAAAAAATTAATTAAAATTTTCTTTATAGCAAAAGAATGCAAATATTTATGCCGATATTTAAGAATATCATCGCAATTGCGTGTAATACACGATTATCCTTGTCACGATAAATACTTATTTATTATAGATGATAAATCTTCTTATTAATTTCCTCACGTCGTCATTATATGATCGACGTATAAATGGATTTTCACGTTAATTATCGCCTCCTTTGTGGATAACCAGTTTCATTTATTTCACGTTTCACTTTCGACGAAGTAACGGTGTCATGTTCGGTTCGTTGTACGAGAAATATTTCATTGTCAACGATCGTCAATCGTGCTGAATTCTATTTACTTACCGTTCGGCTCGTTCAGCTTGCCACCTGATGTTTCGAAACAAAAGCAGCTGACCCCATCATTGGACAGAATAATTTGCAGGTATAGTATCTGCCGCCGGTGTGTGTTGTTTAAAATTACATAACACTGTTTGCGTTTCGTTAAAGTTTCGTGGTAAATGACGTTAAAAATCAACGGATGTATGCCGTTGCAAACAAATATCGATAATTATCTAATACAAATGGTAAATATTTTGTACAATAGTCGTGGAAATCGATATGATCTTCGACAATCGACAATAGTCGGATCGTCAAAATTTCAAAGCGATTTCAAGAGGATGTTTCGGATTGTTTTAATAATAATATATCGTAAAAATTTTTTTGATAAATAAACAAACGCGTGATTCTTATCTATATGTATAATCGAAGATTAAAACTAGAACATCTCGATTTATCTAGATTTTTTTTAAATCTCTTTAATTCATTCTATAATCGACAAACACTAATCGAAGAATTACGATATTTTACCATAATTGTGATTGGATATTAATATGCGAAGAAATATTTTTCAATAAAAAATTTACGTAACGTGAATTAATTTCAAAGTAGAATCTCTGCAATCATCTTCTACGCTGGTAAAAAACATATAGTCTCAACGAGATGAAACCTTTTACGTCTATTTGCAATACAACAGCAATTACGCTTAATGAAACCTGGTCTCCTACGTTACCCACTTTTTCTCGTAAACACCGCGACACGACCACAGAGAAACTCTCAATTTTCTGCAGTAAAAATTCTATAGTTTAGTAACCCTAATTGACTCCATTTCCTCGCACCATTTTTTCTTTTTTTTACAGAAATGCGAATGCGTCATCAGCTACTTTCGTCACGTTTGCGAAGCAGAATCATATCAATTGTATTGTAATTGTGAATGAAGCTCGATTATTTTCTTAAACAAAAAAAAAAAAAAAATACTGCGATTCTCATTTGAAAAATATTAATCACTTACACATGCATATATAATCTATTGTTAGTTACATTCATTAATGATAAATAGAATTCTGTCATTTATCAAATGTTCATATTAAGTTATTAATACGAACGATAAATAAATATGTGTCAATGAATGTTGAATAAAAATTAATGCAGTTTTTAAGAAAAATATTTATTTATTACACATGTATGATATATAATATTTATTATATATATTTATATATATTTTAATATTATATTATAAAAAGAAATTCAATATCATTTTCAATTTCATTTATAATAATATCATACACTTCAATAATATCAAATTATATCATTTTGAAGATAAGCGTTTTATATTTAATATAAAAATTAAAATTAATTCGATATTTAATTCAAAAATAGAATTTCAATACATTTAACCTAAAAATTATGGAAAATTCGATACTTTGAAATTTATATTCAAAAACTCTTCATTAAATAATAACAAAAATTTATTATTAAAATTCTTATTATCTCTCTATCTATCAATTTCATCATTTCCGCATAACTTCACGATTCTCGACCGGCAAGGTTATGTTTCGATTCGAGAAACGATCCTAGATTTATATTCGTGTTCGATTTAATAATCAAAAAGTCTGCGGAAAAATTCGAAAAACGGAACACTTAATCTCCGCTTGCATATACGCATTTATCTGGTAGCTTACGTAAGGTATTTGTGTCGTACGAAGAGTCACCTTTGCCGATCGCAAAACAAATTGTTAATCATCGAAATACGGCGTATCTTGGCGTTACGTAAATGGTTTACGCATGGCAGACACCCGCGTACATATAACGGAGACGCCACGTGGCCACTTCTTTTGGCGGTATTCAAGAAGGACAAAAAATATTGTCTCGAGACGATCGAGAAAATACACGCGAATACTGTTAGAAATCTTAGACCATGCTTGAACCTGGCCACGCGATCCACGATTACGTTGTCTGCACCGTCACTTGCTTTCGCGCATTGCGATCGTCTCATGACGTGAAGTTTCGTGAAAATGCTATAAAATTCTTTGTATAAGAAGAAAGAACGAATAGATTAGTAAATTTCTTGCGATTACGACGAAAGAAATTATTGTATTGAAATTTTGGAAGATACGAAAAGTATATTGTATTTTTGTGTATCGATTTATTAATCCTGAAACTGAAATATAACAAATATTAATGTGAAATATTTAATATTTAACGTAAAATTTCAAAAACTTGGAAAAAAGCTTCACACGAAGCTTCACATTTTTCGCATTCTTCTCGAAAAACATTTTACTTTTTTGATTAAATTAATTGTATTCCAAGAAAACTTATCGAAAACGTTATTAATTAAAAGCTTATATATGGGCGAAACTGCATTTCATATTATCGAATGTTTGCTTCTCCTTAACAATTGAACAATTTCCTTAAAATCCTTAACAATATTAAAAAATAAATATATTCGGAAATATTAATAAAAACAAGATAAAAGTCATATTAAATTTCGCTCATAAATCTTATTATTCACTAAAAAGCCATTTTATTTAATCTCTTAAAAAAAAAATAATCGTGATAATAAAAAGATCCCACAAAAAAAATAGAGCACGAAAGGTTCAATTCCTCTTCAAAGCGTTTAATTATTCTTGGCTAAAAAGCTTAACCGCTATAACCATTAAATTCTCTCCCCTTCTCATTCTCTCCCCACCTCATCATGAACTGAACTGCTCGTTGCGCCTCCTTTCTCTCGAGTTTTAATTTCGAACGGACAGAAGTAACGGATATAATATATCGCTGTATCAATATTTGTTTAATTAGGTTTTCTTGAGTGAGCATTTCCACGCTTTTTCTTTCAGATAACCAACTCTCTGACATAATCATGCCATGAAACTTTCGATCAGCATCGTTTCATGATCCATCGATAAGATTTCACAATTGTGCCTCATTCGCGATGTATTTACAAGCATCAATCTGCTCGCGATTTATGGAATAGCCGCGTTAGTTAACCAGATTCGTAGATGTTTCGCAGTGAATGAGAAAATGTCCGTCCAAATTGATGGACTTTCGGAGAGACGAGATTGCAACATTTGGCAAAAATGTGGCTAGAAGTCGCCACGCTGGACGGCTATGTTTGGAACTGTTACATAAAGCTCCTCCGTCGACCGATCTATCAAGAGGAGACCTTATTAGATCAAGCATGGAAAGCCATCCGCCTGTAAAATCGTTGCCAGCTAGATAAACTTCGCGATTGTTGAATCAATATCGCGATTTTGCGTAACTTATGTTAATAATTATTCGGATGTTGTTCTATTTTATTCGATAAATGATACAAATGTATTATACAGCTATATTAAAAAAAATAATAAATATGTACAAGCAAACAAAGACTGGTTTTGAGGTTAAGTTCAAGTAATTAATATTAGCTTTAAGACTGGTTTAACTTCTTTCTCCTTTACATTTCCTTCTCTGCATATTGATTCTAAATATATATACTTTTTAAAATCCTTGTAATCAAGTTGCATTTGCATGTTCTTCATTTGAAATTTAAAATAAGTTTTCCCATTGAAGTTTCATAACAGCGATTTATCTTTTAAAAATATATTTTTAAGACATTTATAAAACATTTGTAGGATGTTTTCTTGTTATTTGATATTCGACTCAAAACATAACCATTAAACATTCGTAAACATTCGTTTCTATCACGAATTTTCATCCCGATTATTTCCAAGTGAAATTATTTTAACAAAAGATTTTGCTATAAAAATGGAACACGATTCGAAAAAGATTAAGATTATATTGCATTGTACAATCCAAATTTTTTACAGAACATCAAAAGAATCTATGGTATTTCAAAGATCAACGGACGATCGTGTTATCGAGCAGATGCTACAACAACG